GAATCATTCGTATACTTTACCCTTACCGTTAATTTCTATATTACTTCTCTAATTTAACCGTTTGTTCATTATTCTGTTAGTGCCGTTTTTTGGATAAGAAGAGACTTGTCCCTTTATGTCACGTGAGTGGAGTGATGTTGATAACATCGAATGATGCAGTCTTCCTTTCACATCTATACGATTGTACTGTTCAATATTTGACAGTTGATAGTTTCCTTCTAAGGATTCAACATTACTATCCCAATTTTTTTTTTTAAATATGTCACTATATCATCTTTTAATTTATGAGTAAATTTGTCTTTAAACTTTTATATCTTCAAATTTTAATATTAAATTTTTCCATCCATTTTTAAATTAAATTAAAATTTACGATTTAATTTTGATTTTGACGATCTAGAAAAAAAATGGATGTCCTTTTTTTTTCATATGTATGGGGTAAGGGAGAGGTAAGATAGTAGGCTGCCCCCAACACCAGGTTGAGAACAACTTTCGTAGGAGACCTCCGAATTATGAAATGCCCTCCATGGTCACTACGATTTAATTTTGATTTTGATGATCTAGAAAGATTAAGTTAAAAGCATTATTTTAAATATTTTATTGAGTAAACTACGAAAATTGTCACTAATGTTAGGGTAGGTGTTCGTTTTTACCACTAATGTTTAAAAAATCACAAATCGATAACTAATGTTATCGTTTGTTACAAAATAGTTACTCAATGTTAACAGTCGTTAATAGGCATGACAGAAAACACAGCTGGACCGTTATCTGCTGAGTTGGATTACCGGCCCGATGCTCAAACCGTAATCGGCAAAATTATAAGTCGCAATTGACATAGCATAAGGTCAACTTCCTATGGTCCGACTTGAAGACTTTTGAGGCGTAACCTCACATTCGAAATCCTCCATCCTTCTCGTGTCAAATAGTATTCTCGTGCTAAAAAATGTGTTCTTAAAATCCTGTTGGGTTATTTCACATCGAGCTCGAAAACTGGAAGAATGGTTCATGTGGTTGATTAATTTCAACACGCTATGTTCTTCTTGTTAGTGTTGATGTGTTTCGATGGCAAGCTTAATCGATATAAGATCATAGAGATCGAAACTGTGCAGCGATGTTTGCTGATAGACTCGGGCAGAAGATTCAATATACTCAATTTTTTTGCCTAAGGTGACTTGGTTTTTGCTTCGTAAACGTTGGAATGAGTTCCTCAATGCCATTGAAAACCAAGAGAAGGTGTTGGTTTGTCTGATTAGAGCTCGAAAGAAATCGAAAGACAATGACGTCTCAACATAAGTCGATACATTGCTCCATCTTCGACTCCCAAAGAAAAAGGGGAAACTAACGGAAAAGGAAATCATCAGCTTGTGTTTCGAGTTTTTGAACGCTGGAACACTACTTCCACTGCTTTGCAGTGGGTCATGGCAAACATGGTGAAATACCCTCATGTCCAAGAGAAACTATTCATGGAAATCAAAGGGGTAGTGGAAATCAAAGAGCTCCAAGAAGTAGAGAAATGGTGATGATGACGATGAAGCAAATTTCCATGTTTGTTTTGGCCTTTGGAGGTGAGGGTTGTGTCACGTGTGTGATAAGAGGAAAATAAGAAAAGTGAAGAGAAAGAAAAAAGACGAAGATGAGGAATGCGTTGAAGAAGAAGAAGAGCCGGTCAAAATGGCGGCCAATGATCCAACTCATTAGATAACGATCCAGTTGTGTTTTTCGTCACTCGAATTAACGGTTGTTAACATCGAGTGACCATTTTATAACAAACGATAACAGTTAACGATAAGTTTACCCTATTTTATTTTATAGTTAACGATAAGTTTTATATAAGTTTAAATATTAATAAATTAGTTTAATTTTTAATATTATCTTAATTATTTTTTTAATGTTAACTATATGTCTTGGGTGTTAATGTTTTATGTAAAATAGTCGAGAGTTATATTTAAACAAATATTATTTTGTACTTATCTCATATTAATAAAAAAATATTATCACACTTATCAACGTATCATCATTTTATGATTATATATTAGAAATATAAATATAAATAACTATTGTTGATGAGAATAATTTGGTTTATTAGTTGTTGGCAGTTACCCTTTTAGTTTGGATATAGAGTTGCAAACAGTAAAAGAACGTAATCATTGTAAGAAAAATTTATACGAAGCCAAATTCGAATCATCCACACCTTTTTTTTGTATTTCATTAATTTGAATTTTGTTTGATTAAGACTAAGTTTTGTAAAAAAAATCCAGCTTCTTTAAAATACCATAAACAATTCCTTGGGTTGAGCTCCCTTTTCAAGGAAATAGAAAATAGTAGAAACATTTAAATAGGTTTGATTATTTATTACATCATAAAAACTCACTTTTTGAAGATCTCTTCCCTCTTTTCGGGATCAAACATTAATTGCAACGATTCAGTAAACAGCTCATTGAGATAAATGTAGTTAAATAATACCCCCTAGAATCATGTTAGAAGTTTTATTATCGTACAACTCGAGAAAAAAATGAATAATTCTTAATTAAAAGTTGTGTATAGAATTATAATGTATAGAGTAGTCTATATGTGAGAGTGGGTGTTGTGGATCTTATGAACAATAAGAAACAAATAGAAGAAGAAGCCCCCTTCAACTATAGTTGAGAGAGATTTATAGTTGTTCTATCTAATTGTGTCAATTTTAAGATCATTATGTTTATTTGTAGGTTGACATATTAAATATAATTGATAGTTAGGTCTTTGTATTTTGCAACGATAGGTTTCTTAAATTTATGAGAAGTCTTTTCTAAAAGCCTTGTTTACACATTATAACTAGTTTAAAAGGTTTACGAGGGACTGATAAAAGAAGATATCCATATAGAATTTTTGAGAGGCGGAAGATTGGTAGTTTTCAAAGATGGTATCGGGGTATAAGAACTATATTAATTCAATGTAGAAAATGAATTTTTTTATTTCTAAATAGAATTGAATTAAAATAAAAATTTTGCATGTATAAACAATAAAAATTAAAAATTAATGTACATGATTATATCAAATCAAAAATAAACTTTTGAATTACTCATGTTTTTATCACTTTGAATTATTTTAGCAATATTTTTGTATGACATGTCATTTTTATTATTATGTAATATAAAATAATTGAAAATATAAAATAAAACATAATGAGGTCGGGGGTCATCACCAACCACGTAGATTGTGGTCGTTTAGTCCCAAATTTCACGTCAGTTCATCTCGACCCCCTGAGTCTGAATCTGGTGGTTGTTTCACCGGAAAATGTCCTAAAATTTGTGAATCTTGATTGAAACATTTCAACTTCCTCACTTTCAATCTCTAATTCGTGGACTTTGGAGTAAGTTCCGAAAAAAATGGAGGTCGGATTCAGACTCAAGGTGTCGAGGTGAAGTGACCCATGAAATTTGAAACCGAACGACCACCATTTATGACGGTCAACGGTGGCTGACAGTGGCGTCCGACCATCTTATGTTATTATTTTACATTTTCAATTATTTTATATTAAATAATAATAAAAATGCCATGTCATACAAAAATAATTTAGATTGATCAAAATAGGCGCAACTCGAAAGTTCAGTGAGTAAATTAGAAAAATTGGAAGTACAATGAGTAAATTTGGAGAGAGAGTATAGTTTAGTGGGGAATGGTGTAATTTACTCTTTTTTTTAATAATATGAGATATTATAATATAATATTTGTTTAAAAAATTTCTTAATTATTGATAATGTATATATCATGCAAACGTAATTGCTCAAGTTTGAATTTTCTAGAAAAACAACATTCTCTTTTACAAGTGAAACCACTTGATGAATTTTGGAAAAACATAACTGAAGCTAGAAAGAAAATATGCAATGGAATAAATAGGTAAGCTGAGCAAAACGACATATAGTATCTATATCATATTTTTTTTAACACTTCTGCTTCTGCAGATCAGTGGTCGGCTGTAATTGCTGGAAGAACACCAATTACCTTGAATGGATTGCATTTGCAGCGCATCTGTTCTCTATGTCCCCCGGTTCTTATTAAAATCCTCAGCTTCCGTTTTCGTAACTATCCATGAATGGAAAACAATGTGCGAGGAACAAAAGTTTGCTTAGGTTTTTTAATAAACATTGTTGCTTTTTGTTTCTCAAAAAGATGGTTGAAAGACAAAGATTTTAGGAATATATGCTCCCTTACCTTTGCATAAAATCCCATCTTTCCTTAAGCCCATCCATAATCCCAAAACACCTGATATTCCCTTGTGAATGTGTCAGCTTTGTTATATACATTTGAAGAGTGTTATTAAAAGATAACGTCAAAGATCGTGCAAATAAGATAATCATAAAGGTTTTATGTGTTTTTTTAAATCACATGTAAAAGATAAGATTTTAATTATTTTCGAAAATAGAAGAATATAAGAGAAGTGTTTACAAAAGATTTATTTATAGAGATAGTTACCTTATTACAAAAGAAACATAGAAAAAAATCTACGTAAATTGAGTTTCTTAATATTAATCAATATAATAGAAAATAAATTCCGTACTTTTAATCAAACTAAATTTCTTACTTTCCTCAGTCAATTTGAATCAGATCAAACCCTAATAATCGATCCAACAATGCTTCAACAAATGCTTTGAAGAATATTAAAAGAGTAATTTGGGATACTATAAGTTACATTATACATACTAGATTTCAAGATGCATATGATATCATATATTTGTATCTTTCGTGATTTTTATGTTTTTAGTCGATTATGATTTTTCTTATTCACGGAGGTGAACTCTCATCTCTTACACGTGTATTATTTTCATGTTAATCTCACTTTAGTCAATTTCCGTTTGAGAAAAATTCTTTTTGAGTAGTATTGGATTACTTTGGAATATATTTCCAAATAGATTAGGATTTAGTAGCTCAAAGGGAATCGATGCCTATGCAAAGGCACTAGTGGAATATCTCCTGGGGGTCATCAGTCCTTCTTTATAAAAACTTGAGCATACTTAACTTCCATGGCAACCTTAATAGCTAAATCATTTCGCATCGAGTACTGTTTCTTTGGCTACATAGACGAGAACAAAAGCGTCAGCAGCATGCCCAAGGGCCGACCACTTTCTTTGCAGGTTTTCCTCTCCTCCCCCAAAGTATTTTGTGTGTGGAAAATTATCATCTATCTTTTGAATATTGATCTCTCTTTGCAGACTGTGGACCTCAAAGTTAGAATTTGCTGCACTGGTTGCGAGAGAGTCGTCAAAAACGCCATTTACAAGCTTAGGGGTATATTCTTGTACAATAAAATTAAACGACATAATGTTCAAATTAGTGTCTAACGTATTTTAATAAAATGATTATTTTAATTTTTTAATCAATTTTAACTCTCAATATTTTATTTTTTATTTGTTAAAATGATCCCTACTGGATGGAAATCGTTAATTTGTTATGGGTCAATTAATGTTGTTGACGTGATAGACATGTCAACAATTTAGCATATATACAAATATCACATCAGTAATATGAGTTGTCTATTAATCAATTAACGGCTCCATCCACAAGATTCATTTTGATTTAAAAATTAAAATGTTGAGGGCTAAAATGTCCTAGAAAGTAGGAATTTAAATAATTATTTTAATAAACGTTAGAATTAATTTGGACATTATACCAAATCAAACCCAATACTTGGTCTATAATATCATTGGAATGCTTGATAATATTGTGTTAGGGATTGATTCGGTGGAAGTGAACCTGGAAATGGAAAAACTGACGGTGATCGGGTACGTTGATCGGAACAAGGTGCTGAAACAAGTGAGAAGAGCTGGGAAGATGGCTGAATTCTGGCCCTACCCGGAGCCTCCTTTGCACTACACTTTGGCCACCGAATACTTCAAAGACACCACAAACGAGTTCAGAGAGAGCTACAACTATTACAGGCATGGCTACAACCATGGACATACGCATGGCTACATTCCAGTCACGCATCGTGGAGATGACAAGGTAAGCAACATGTTCAACGATGACAATGTCCATGCATGTTGTCTCATGTAAATACACGATCCGATATTTTGGTTTCGACTTACTAAGTATGAGATGTAAAAAATAGACGTGTACCATTAAATTTTGCTAGTTTATCATTTAGATTATTTTTGTCAAAACTATTTTTGGGTGGTTAAAAAAAATGGTAATAGTAAAGATAAATGTTTTTGAAATCATTTTTGGGTGGTTCGAATCAAGAGATCTCGTAAGAGAACTCGTAATTTCAAGTAAAGGTTCAATAGGTCTTATAATTTTAGCTGACAGATGAAGAGATCATGTAATTTTGGGTGAAAGATCAAGGGATCTCATACTTTTGAATGTAAGATAAATGAGTCTCATACTTTCATATGACATATCGAGGGATCTCACGATTTCAAGCGAAAGATCAAGATATCTTAGCTTTAAGTGAAAGATTTAATCTCATCATATGTCAAAGGTCTATAACTCAGATTCTCAAAATAGTATTTAATCCATTTAATTTTCAAAGAACTTCAAGATTAAAAATTATTTCATTGCTCATAACACAAAGTTTAAAAAATTTATTTATTTATTAATTCAAGAGATTTCAAAAATAAATCTTTATTTATTCAAGAAAATTGAAAAAAAAAACTTAATTTAAAATTCTTACACCATTGTGTATAAATATTTCAAACCTGGAAAATTATGACAAGGGTCCTCTTTGTGTGGGCATCGAAAAAAAAACTCCCACTTGAATTTTCTTATCTTCTATCATGTCGTTGGTGTTTGATCGTGCATGTATGCTTTGGAAATACAATGTTGATGATTCGATGCAAGAATGCATGAGAAAGTATTGGTTCAACAAACTGATCTCATAAAACAGAGAATCTTCGAATAATTACAACTTTCTTTACTTTACTTTGGAACTTTTTTTTTCATTGCAAAATTTTTTTATTTCTCCGAACATTTATAAATCAACACCTCTAAATAATAATGATGCACATGCATGTGGATGAAGAAATAAAACATCACCAAAAATGAGTTAGTACAACATGATAAATCATAGAGTAATGCCATAAAAATTAAATAAATCTTATCGATCAGACTATAAAAAATCACAACTTATATTGAATGCGAGCGCATAAACAAATGAATTTTTGCCTTACTTATGATGGTATTCCCTAAGGTTTAAAGGTTGACATGACTCTAACAAGGGTAGGCTCATATGGTTCAACATGAGATTTGATTCTAAAAAGATACCGAAATGTCCTTATTAACGCCTACTGAGGCTAGTAAGGCCTTTGATCCTCACCCACTATAGGCTCCAAATGGATCAGATTCAACTCGAGAAGACATATTTTCCTATATCTACACGGAGGGTTACTCACGAAGTCATAAGACATATGCACCTCAAAAGTAATTACTAGGCTTACACGGAAGATTACTCATGAAGGCGTAGCATTTGCTCCCACTTTAAAAGGACGGACCTTGAGTAGAAAGAACATGTTATGAAAATATAATCATGATGAGACGTTGACAAGAAATAACTTTTAATAGAACAACCTTCTCAATTTATATATTATGAAAACCTTCTATTTTCACTAGTCATTCGTTGATCAAACGCCTTAAAAACAAAAACTCATTTTATTTTAAAAAAATTTCAAAAACTTTACAAAATATTTTTTTAAAATGTGAAATTAAAATTAAAACTAAATTCATATTCGCAATTCTTTTAAAAAATGTGAAATTGAAATTAAAACTAAATCTACATTTGCAATTCTTTGAAAAATGAACATTGTGTAATTTTATTTGTGGTTTGACTCTCAAAATAAAAATAAAAAAACTTCAGCGAAATCGCTAAGCTGTCGAAACCATTTTTGGGTTGTTTGAAAATAGTTATGGTAAAGTTTTTTTTTTGAAAATAGGAATTGCAATCGGTCGTTTTGGGCTGGGTATGAATACCTTTAAATTGAGTTTGCGTTTAAAACCATATTAAAATGAGTTTGGGAGTCTATTACATGTGGGGAAGGTTAAAGCACCCCCACAACGCTCAAAATTGGTATCTTTATAAAATAAATGATGTTCAATTTTACAAGAACTGGGAATACAAATTTAGCCTAATTTTAACCTCACATGTGAATGCAATTTTTAAAGAAATATAGTAGTTATCGTTTGGAAGCAACAATTTATGTTTGCACCCATTTAAAAAGGAGACTCACGTCATTTGAGGAGAATGTCACTTTGTTACATACAACTAAAAAGGTTGTAATCCAGCTACTTAGGACACTTCATCTTTTAGTCGACATAACAATGTAACATTGCCTCAAATTTTTAAAAGAGGAAGACAATTTTCATATAATATAATTTTAGAAAACGTTGTCACGAAGAAGATCACATCAATAGTCGTCACATATAAAAAATAGGATAAAGTATAGTAATGGTCATTGAACTTTTCTAAAACTTTCATTTAGGTCCCCCATCCTTTAAAACTTGCAATAAAGTCTCCCAACATTTAGTCTGTTTGCAATATGATCCCCCAACAATTACGTTGGGGACCATATTACAAACATACAAATGTTAGGAGACCATATTGCAAATGGACTAAATGTTGGGGGACTATATTGCAAGTTTTAAAAGTTGGGGACCTAAATGAAAGCTTTAGAAAAGTTTAATGACCGTTACTATACTTTACCCTTAATTTATTTAAAATTTTATTTGTAATTTTACATTTCTTCAATTTTGTCCTTAAATTTATATTTTTTTACAAAATTGATCCATGATTATTTTTTTTTTTGTAATTTACTCGGAATCATATACAATTACAACTTGGAATTCAACAATCACGAAAAATGACAAAATAATTAATCCAAAATTAGAAACGACCCGACCTGAACTCAATCTGTATCTGGTAAACATCCGACCTAAATTTTATCTATCAATGATGTAACCCGATTTGAACGAGATCCGACTAAAGTCCACCTGAACCTGAATTAACTGGTCTTTATCTGCTTCGGACCTGAACTATTTTGACCTAAACTGACATCGATCCGAACTGAAAATGACCCGACTTGAACCCGATATGGATCTGGTGTTAATCAACCTAAAAATAACCCAAACTAATTTGACCTGTACCCGACCTGATCCGATTCAAACCATCAAATTAACCTGACTTAACTTGTACCCGATTTTACCCGACCTGCCAGGATCCGACTGAAACCTGACCGATTACCTGATTTTACAGCCTTAATTGACACCTTCTTAAGTAGACACTCCACCACGTCGGGCTATTGAGGTCGCCCTCTAAGAACAAGGGTAAGGATGTTGCTTGGTAAAATTATTGAATTCTTACGTAATAAAGTTAATCACCAAGAAATCTTTAATCATTCAAATTATAATAGAATTTAATTTAATAATTAATTAAAATTTGAATAATCTAACAATAAATTATATAATACTCTAATTATATTATAACATAAAATAAGATTAATTAATACTTGAATATGATATATTATAAAATAAAATATAAAATAAATAATAGGGTAAAGTATAGTAATGGTCACTGAACTTTCCTAAAGCTTTCATTTAGGTATTCCAACTTTTAAAACTTGCAACACAGTCCCCTAATATTTAGTTCATTTGCAATATGGTCCCCCAACAGTTACGTTGGGGATCTTATTGCAAACGAACTAAATGTTGGGGACCATATTGCAAATGAACTAAATGTTGGGGGACTGTATTGTAAGTTTTAAAAGTTGGGGGACCTAAATGAATTCTTCAGAAAAGTTCAGTGACCATTACTATACTTTACCCATAAAAATAATAATGAATGACTATACACAAAGACTAACAAAGAAACAAAAACAATTTTTTTAATCAATTTGGAATTATGATCTAACATCGAATTAATCAAGAATTTGAAGACATTTAATAATCATCTTCAATTTATGGATTAAAATGAATTAATTAAAAAACTAGTCCAAAGTTCATTAATTAATTTTCAAATTATGAACGCAACTAGAATTAATTAAGAAATTAAAATTGAATTTATTAATCAATTATGAATCATGGATCGAATTAAATTAATCGAGAAATTTAAGCCAAATATCAATTAAGAATTAAATTAAACTTAATTAATTATTATAGCATAATTAATCAATTAAACTCTAATTAGGATTCAATTGACGAAATCGATGCCAAATTAATTAAGACATTCTGATTCAATGACCTAATTAAGAGAAATGAAAAATAAATGGGCTATATGAAAAAAGGGCGCGCAAGTCCGGGCTCAAACGAATAACACACAAAGATAAAGGATTGAAAAATGAATATACCCATGAAGAAATGAAACACCTTGATAGTGCTGTAAATGAGACGAGACAGATCGTGAGCTACTCGAGATCGACTCGATCAAGGCTCGATAAATACTCGGATCGAATGGACTCGACTCGAGCTCGAGCTCGACTCGAATTCTTAACGAGCCGAAATGAGCTACTCGATACTCGACTCGAAAAGCTCGTGAGCAGCTCGAAAAAAATGTTATATTATAATTTTAGAATTTTTTAAAATTACATTATTAAAAATATATTAAAAATACACTATTGGACAGTATTAATTTACATGATGTCAACTTAAGATGTATGTTGTTCACTTTTTGGGTCGGGAATTACAAGTTTGCTTTAACTTCTCCCTTCTTGAGTGGTACTTATAATTCCTTGGCTCCGAATTGAACGGATCCGCTCCAGATATAGAATCTTGTGATTTTTGAATCGTCAACACAAAGCTAAAAATGTATAAGTCTTTTATACATGGAAATAGGGCAATTCATCAAGAACACATATTATGCAGTAATGATATAGTTGGTATTTGATGTGTAATTTGACTTCATGTTAAATGAGCTACTCTTTAAGCTTCCTAAGTAGCTTTTGTTTGACGTGACATGTCTAAATCCTTCCTTTGCATGTGTTGGGTGTTATTATGGTCATTTGACTTCGATTTCTTTCCGGTACCATCCGAACTAACTTCCTTCTTTGAACAAAATAGTCAAAAAGTTGGGC